TGAAATGGAACCAGTAACTTTTTCTAAGACTTGAAACTGAACACCTTGAAAAGTGGGACAGAGCACAGCTGCTGGTGCTGTGCTTGTTACTGATAGGATGCTATTATATCTTTTTAACAGAGAGGTGTACAACAGACATCGAGTCTGATGGTGACCAAATTAAACTATATTTCAGTGTGATATTTAAACAGAGGTGTCTTTACCCTATATTGATATAACAGTAAAGGTATCCAATATGCCTATTAAAAGTTGCGCATGTGGGAGACTAGTTATGCATTGCAAAATAGCCTTATCTCTTTCTTTGGAATGAAATTAGAAATGATGCAGTTTATTCTTCAGCCTTTCCTGGGCATATCTAGATTAGCATAGCAATTGTAGTTTCTGAAGAGTAAAATATATCTTCAAGAAGCTTGACTAGTGTAATAAATACTGTCCATCCTATTCTCAGTGACTCAAATTTTATATACAAGTCAATTGGTGTTAATGTGCAATATAGTAAGGATTGCACAACCTGTAGTGTAACTCTCTGCTCTGCTACTGCAGAAGTGTCATCTGATGTGTTTCTGATGTCTTCTGGGTTCCCTTTTGGGTTCCGGTCTTTCCGTTACTGTTTTTTTTTTCCCCCCCTCCCTCAGTTCTTCCGCGGTGGGAATCGGAGGAGTAAAAATATGAGACTTTTTTTAGTGCTGTCATGACTTTCGCTCCAGTGGCATTCTTACTGCTTACTAGTACCATGGAAGTCATGTAGTTTGTTAAACTGAAGGGTTTCTATTTTGTATGCTACTTTGATCAGAGAAGAAGCTCCTAAAAATGTCTTGGTGTTAACCTTGGTATCCCTTTCTTTTTGCATTAAGTATGGGGAAGGTTAAAACAAATCTTGTTTTATTTTCATCTTGTTTTGCCCAACTGAAAAAAATATCCGAGTCATTAATTTCTAGTATAAGTTTCAGTCAGAATATCTACAGTAGGCATGCTCTTTTACAGCAGCCAGAGTCTTGTATAAAGAAAACCACAATTAGTTTTGAAAATCCAGTTACTACAGTGGTTATTACTTCTGAGTAGAAGTTCTATGCAGTCACTGTGGCTTAGTACTGTGGGGTGAAAGAAGAGCATTGTTCTTCCTGCTTGTAGGACTGTTCTGTATATAGGTTGAGTAGCTGTCATGCTATGTTTGTGGCTTACTTCCAGTCATCAGTTGCCTTGCTGTTCCCACACGCCTTTCTTAAATTCTTCTCATCTTCAGACTATACATGAAGGAAATCTTCAAATTTACCATGCAGCACCTATATTTGTGCTTTTTTTCGGGTACCTGTCTAGTACTAGGGTTGTAGTACTGTTTTTATTTTCCTAGTAGAGCTAGGATGATCTCCCATTTTGTTACTCCTGGCGATACTGCCTCTTCCAATGCCTGCAAATAACTTACTTTTGTCTTAAATTGTTAATAAAGATTTTCTTAGTTCTGAAAAATCTCCGTTTTTCAACCTTGTAGCAGGAGAACCGGTTTGGTAAAATTCAAGTGAACTAAACATAATTTGGTAGCTTTCTGAGCCAACGATTGGGAAGCAAAATGACCAAAGCAATGGAGAAGGGTACATGCCAACAGAAACTCCATTACGATGACAGAACATCAGTTTTAGTGGTAAGGAGTTTGTTTCATCTGGACAGGGATATTGTTATTGAGGAAGCAGATCTGGAGACAGCCGTAACAACCATTTTCATGCTACTCTTTTCAACTTTTGTCCAGTGATTTATTCCATGGTGATCATATGGCAGTCATATAGAGCACTTTGATTTCATCAACACCATGTGATTTCTGGCATAAAATCGATTCAGTTTATTGTGGACTGGCATTCTGGCTGCCCATCTGGATTTAGCTTCTATGTTAAAGAGGGTCTTTTGTGACAAGCAGTTGTCAGGATAATATCTGCATGTATGTTTACTCTTGGCATCATGCCAGAACAACAGCATTTTAAATATGTTTCATTAGAGCCACAGTTTGAAAAACAATTTTGTTCTCTTTTATAAGCTTTAGTAAGGGCATTACAGGCAGCTTTGTCTCTGTTCTAGCTGTCAATCAGAAGGGACTTTATGAGGGTTTAAGATAATAAACGCTCATCGTTAGATTTAACTCTGGCATAAGTGGTAGAGTGCCTTCTTTCTGTAGGTATAACCATTCCAGAGTAATAAATTGAACATTTTAATTCATTTTTAAGGGGCCCTGCCAACTTATCTTTGTCTTGGGACCTTCTAACTGCCCATTTCTGGATGTTGTCTATTGCTTTTCCTTATTGAAGTGTGTTTGAGTTGTAGGGGGAAGGGTCTTGTTCAACAGCTTTTACATGAAATGGCCCTCTTCATTTCTCAGGATTACTCTCATCACTTTCCTGTTCCCATGTTGCTGGCTGTGGCAGTGAACGCTTCTTGTCACGCTTCTTTATATGGAGGAAGAAGTACATTTGTAGTAGTCTGTAGCATTTTCCCTTAGGTACTATTTTCCCTCAGATGGATTTGTTCTTAATATTTTGTTATGGCACAGAATGATCTCTTAGACTGTCTCTTTGTCTTGGTGAGTCCTGGGTGAAACTACCATTTCCACTTTTATTTCCTTGTAAGCATGTTCAGCAGCAGTAAAGTATTAAGGTTGTTCCTTTTCTTGTTTTCAGTTTCTTTAAGTGTTATGTTGTGAGTGACTAAATTATTTAGTTCACTGTTGCTTTCCCCTTTCTTTCTCATTTTCTTTTCCATCTAATTGAAACAACATGCATACTTCCAGGGCTTATAATATGAGTTAGTTCTGATGCAGATGAAGTTTCCCCTTGGCCAGCTATATACTGAATTGCAAAGTATGCAAGTACTTCTGGTTGTTCTTTTTCATCTGCCGGCTTACAAGTCTCATTTTATTTTTAGACAAACTAGCATTTTAACAAATCTGCAAGGAACTTGACATGCTTTTTGGTTTTGGAAGTTCTGTGGGGGGTTGTTGGGAGATTTGGTGTTTTTAATGCCATAGCTAATACCTGTCACTTAAGGTGTATGGTGACCCAGCAGGTTTGTGCTGTTTGCATCATTGATTCATTTTAAGCTGATATTTCATCATAGGCTTTCAAGTAGATTAACCAAACACTGAACGTTGCTTTCCTTGGTATTTAAATATAAATTCAGAGAATTGTATTCACAGATCTATAAAACATTAATTTTGAAGATAAAAGTTTTTTTTCTGGAAATAAAAACAGCTGAAACTACTCTGAAAAGTATTAGTAGGAGCAGTGATTAAAATGCTTGTCTTTTTTTAACCTATAATGCACTTAAAGTATTTTGTATCCAAGACTTTGTATGGTTTTATTGTCTTCCTATTCAACAAAATAGCATGACTCTGAACTTTCCTTTTTTCTCTTTGTTAGAAAGGAGATATAAAAAACAGCTCACTATTAATACTAACACCTAGAAAACCTCAACTATCCAATTCCCATTTCAAAATGCGCTACACAAGTTAACTATCTAGTCAGGAGTTCGTAACCTAAATTATAACCTAGATTTAAAAGTAACAAACTTTTACAGCTAATAACGATCAGTGCTTGTACTCAGAAAGTTTTATACAGTAAAAAAAGGTTCCTAATATTTTCTTATTTCAGAAATATTACCTAATTATAACAGTGACAGTCCTAATGAACAACTAAAACCCATTTATTACCTTTTTTTGGATATATTTTATATATCTCCTTTCTACACAATACAAACAAAATGATTGTTTTATGATGACAGTACAGATGGCTTTTTTAAAGACAGGTATAAATAATGAAGGTAGAAAAATAGTCAATGTAACTGGTAGTTCTTCCTGTGTGGATAAATCCACTTTTCATAGAATCTAACGCTGGTCCAAAAGGATCTCAACTAGGAAATCCTGCTTGTGTACATGAGGTTGATTACAGCTGAGTCCTTTGAGCTTATGTCCTCAGTAATTTATTCTGGAATGCATTTTATAGTTTGTTCCTTATCTATTGGAATAATAGATGTCGTGGTGCAAGTGGGAGCGCTCAGGAAAACTGCAGAGGAGCAGGGGCCGTGTTTTGTATGTGTTAGATTGTATACAAACATAACCATCTTCAGCTTTGCTGTATGCCAGTTAGGATTTGAAGAGGATTTTAAACAAAGAAAAGTCATCATTTGATGGAAAGATATTTCAAACAAAATGAACGGATTCGCAAAAGGACAAATTTTTATCCTACAGAGCACTGAAGTAAAATGTGACTCAAATTTGACTGAAGGTGTTCATGACAAAGGCAATGGAAAAATGAGTCATTTTGACTGTGGCTGCTTGAACATTAAGGCTGAATACAGTATAAGAATACAGATATTCCATATAAGTCTGTACTTTGTTCTTTAAAATACTGGAAAACAACTCAAAAAGATCTCAATTTTGTTTGGTTTTGTAGCTGTGTTCTGGGTGTAGCACAAAATCAGGAGGTCTAAAGCTCAAAAGATTACTAGCTGCTGTTTTGGTTGACTGACATTTTAGATCATCTGACTCTGCAAGGATAGCAGCAGAGTAACCCAGTACTATCACAGTAACACATTACTGGAAATGGTTTCTAGAATGTGCTCCTGTTGATTACGTTTTCTACAAGTATCCCCTCTGTTCAACAACTTCAGCAGTGACAATATTGTTACTCTTTTGGATTAAACTTAATTTCGTTATACGATTTAATATTAAATACGAACATAGAATTTATGGAGTGCTTTGTAAGCACTTAACGTTGTATAGATGTGGCTGACAGGTATCTTATATTTTATAGCTGATGAAGCAGTGGGGAAAGTTTGATTGCCTTGGGTAGAGCCAAAAGGGAAGTTAGTACAGTACCTAAAAATCTGTGTTCCTGATTTACTTTTTCATAAACTGCTCTGCATAGTACTCTAGACAATAAACGTTAGCGTTAATAAACACATGCTTGGTACTGAATAGTTAGTGAAGTCAAGAAGAACTTCAACTTCTGTTTTCTTTGCTTGCTTTAACAGTTGTTACTCAACCAAGCCCGTCAGTTTCTCAGCCTAGTACTTCACAGAATGAAGAGAGAGCTCCTGAACTGCCCAAACCAAAGAAGAACAGATGTTTCATGTGCAGAAAGAAGGTTGGCCTTACAGGTATGAGAGCACTTTGTCAATATGGAGCGGATATGCATGATTAGTTGCCTCTTACAGGTTGTATTTGAAATATATGTAGCCGTTGAACTTACCTGCTGCTTCATAATCCAGAGTTTTTAGACCACTTAGTAACAGCTGATATTTTGGAAATGTTCGGGTTTTTTTACTGTTTGTCAAAATAGGTGCACATACCCCTTTGTCTCTATTGATTAAGCGCTTGATGTACTACAGCTTGCTTATATCTGAAGCTTCCTAGTGATGTTGCTTCCTCTCCTTTGGACAGGATTTGACTGCCGATGTGGAAACTTGTTTTGTGGACTTCACCGTTATTCTGACAAGCATAACTGCCCATATGATTACAAAGCAGAAGCTGCAGCAAAAATCAGGAAAGAGAACCCAGTTGTGGTGGCTGAAAAAATCCAGAGAATATAAACTAACCTACTTATGAAAAGACTGACTGACTTTGTTTTATTTTAATATATCCTAGGAAAACATTAAAGAGCAGATGCATGGCCATTTTCCTTTGATGTTCTCCATAGTTTTACTTTTAGTCTTGTCTGTCTTAATGATATTTCAGAATATTTGGGTGTTTGTTACAGGCAGAATTAGATAGATACAGCCCTTGAAAATGTATATGCCCTCCCCAGAATATAATTGGATGATCAGAACCTGCACAGGAATACACGTGCACAGAGGACAAACTCTAGTTCACATGTGCCAAACAGATGTATACTATCTGCATGTTTGCAGCAGATCTGCCTTTTGAGGAGTGTTTGGAGTGTATAATCTTTGGCTAGTGTTATGTGCCTGTTTGGGAGAAGGATACATCGGAAAGGTTTGCAGTCTACTTCTATCATTTAAAATCTCATTCTAATTTTAGTTTCCACACTCCATTGTTTTCCAGCAGAACGTAAGCTATGTAGGCGAGTCCGTCTTAAGAAACAGTTGCTTAACAATTGCAGTGGGAAAAGCGAAACAATTGGACATGTATGAGAAGAGAACTCTTTTGGAAACAATTACATTAACTTGAGAATCATGGAAAATAGGTTCCCAAAGGAAGTGTCCTGTAAGGAACTTATGAACTGGCCGGCAACAGAGTTGTCTGCTTTTCCTTGCATAGCTAGAAATGTTGTGTAGCACAGTATTGTAAGATTGGTTTACAAAACAAAAGCTACATATGTTTTTTAGACATACCACAGCAGCTCAAGCGACACACGTACATCTGAGTAAGTTGCAGAAGTATTTGAACAGTTTATTATTCATGTACTACTTACGTTCTGGGTAAGTTCTAATGTGTTCTGGGTTCAAAAGAGTATTAGGAGCTTTTTTATTTTTCCTGATTTTGAAATGTAACAATTGCACCATTCTGCATGGAAAACTGTACCCAACATGGCTGCTGTAGACTTAAGTGGTAGCTGGAACCACTCTTGGAGGGCTGCTTTATCATTTTTAATTGTACTTGGGTCTAGGACTGTAGTGTTCTTGGGTGTATTGCATGGGCTGCATTATCTACAGCATTGTACAATAACAACTCTAGAAAAGGCAGTATACTTCACTGATGCTTGTCTGGTAATATCACTTCTGTGTTATAATGGAAGGTTTTTTGTGATGTATGAAACTTGTGTTTTTTATATAAACGAGTACAGTTTAGACTAGTGTTGTGGTAATGCCTGTTCTCATCTGTAAATAGTTACGTATGTACACAAGGCGCTAATTCTGATTTCTGTTGCAGTGTTCAGTCTTAGTTCTTACTTCACTATTAAAAGCATCAGGTTTTTGCTTTAACTTTCTTCTTTCAATTGAGTTATTAGATATGCAAACATGTACAGATAGTTCATATTTATGTATTGCACATAATCATGCTACCCAGCATCTATGCTATATTGTATTATGTAAATAATAAAAATCATGTACAGAAGGAAATACTTCCTTTTGTGATAGTTCATTGGTTTTAGTTATTGCCCTAACCTGAAGTTGACCTTGTGGAGATTGGGCTACAAAGTTAGTTCTAGTTTTGTATAGATGTTGTCTTTTTGCTTCAACCTGCCTATTTCTAACCTTTGTTTCTTATATTGACATACTAACTTGTCTAAGATGGCTTGTTGAGGTCAGAGAAGCATGAACAGCTGGAATACAGATAACTACTTCATGGCCAGACAAGAATGTCAGAAACGACGACGCGCTTAAAGGGAACAAAGCAAAGCATTTGCAGTGAACTTTAAAGGCTTTTTTTTTTTCTTTTGCCTACAAATGTTATTTCCAGCGGATCAGTAGTAATAGAGCCAGTACAGTGACTGCGTTGTTCTGTCCAAATCTTCATCAGCAGGCCTGGGCAGAGTTGTTGGGGTCTGAATATGGATGTCAAATATGCCAGACCTACCCTTCCCAATGACAAAGAAAAGTACAGAGCATACAGCACATTTTGACTTGGAAGAAGCTATCTTCATTGCTGGATTAAAATATAACAGTTGCTTATACCAGAAATGGATAATGTGCATCCCACCAGTCAGCTGAAAGTAACACCCGAGTGATAAGTTCCTGCTGCTGCCACTATATATACTTCTGATAAGGGAACAAGGGCATGCTTTGGGCCTTCATTTGACAGGATAAACTTTATGACTTGTAATTGTGGAACTGCTTTAAAGCACTGAATTTTTTTCCACCTTTTGTACTAAGCAAAATCAACTACTCAGCTGCAGCATAAAATGCTTTTCTCATTTGAATCTGAGAACACTTTGGAACTGGATGTTTAAAGAGAATGTATCCATATTTGTGATATTGTTATGGCTAGAACATTTTTAGGAAGGTTAGCTGTGCTGATACCAGTACTTAGTGAATCTGATGTTCTTGATCTCACCTCTGTCTGCTTTTTCATCTGAACCAAGACTGTACTTGGGAAGGCTTGTTGAAATCGTAGATCTCAGTAGATCTGTGAAAGAAAGTATGGAATGAGAAATCTCTCATTGTTCTGTATGTCATGAACTGTCTCGTGTGTATTGCCTACAGGTGAGGTATTCTAAACTGTATTCTAAACTAAGTTTATAAGCTCCACTGAGCTTTATTAATAATTCTTACAGGGTATGTAATCATTCAGGAGTCCTAGTTCTGTTGAGGCTCATCAAGAATTCAGATAGGAGGAAGCTTGTTTAGTAAGAGCAGGTAATGAAAAGTGTAGTAAATGTATATTTAAACTTCAATGCAAACGCTGCAGTACATCTTTGTTGGCAAAAAGGGATACGAATATAGGTGCAAAGAGTTCCCCCAATTTAACTTGGGAGACTGGTATAGACTCTTAAAATAAACGGCTGACTCCCACTGTATTGCCAGTCACAGTCAGTCTGGGTACATTATCAGAAGTATTAAAATGCTTTGAGGAAAAGAGGATTAAAAAGGTAAAAGTTCAAGCACAGGCCATTCATAAAGCTGCTGTAGATGGGCTATCTTCTGGTCTTTAGATTTGAAGTGACAAATGGCCACAAACAGTGTACTCTCTTTCCAAGAAAGAAACACGATCGCTTCACATGATACTAGTCCTTATTTAACATTTGGCTGTTAGACTGAGATGTTATTAACTTGTACATAAACATGCTGTTCTGGAAAGGTTCTTCTGTGCCCCTGACAAGTTCATCAGATCATGGGGATTCTTTTTTTATTTAGGGCATTTAAGAATAATAAACGGATAAGCAGATGAAAGCAGCTAGGTGACTGAAGACTTATTTGGTAGTCTTTAATTTTGTAAATGTTTAGCTTCATCTTTAGCTTTGGCTGTACAATAGGGTGGTCCATAGGATTCTGTGCAAACTTACTCCTAGCTGTTAAACCCCAGATCTGGAGAATGAATGACAAGCTTCCTGTGGTGTTTCCAACCTGTCACTATAAGGCTGATGAACTGCCAGGTGACTTGGCTGGTTGCAGTAGGTGTAAGAATGTAATGGGGTTGAGAAGCCCTGACTATATCCTGTGATCTTGCTGGTATTCGGCCCGTTTGGTATTTCTGATGATCGGTTATTTTAAACTGAAATATCACAGATTCACAGGCATACTGTTTGAGCTGTAATGCTTAGTTTGGATTATAAATGATTCAGAAGCAGCTTTGGCTCTTTGGACCACCATATAAAGTAGCTGTTTGACTTTGTCTCTGTGGGGCTAATAGACTTTCTTCCCGTATTTTGCCTATCTCCCACCAACTGAGAATGGAAGATCTAATGTTAAGCCAATTAGATAACTGATTTAGACCTTGATTCTTTTTTAATACAGCTGCATGACACATTTCAGCATAGCATAAAAAAGTGTATAAATTGTTCCTTTACATGCATCTCTTAAAATAAAATCAAATTAAGATAATATGTAAATGAATTTAGCTTTTAAATGTTGCTATTGACTTTTTTCACTTTCTATTAACTGTTTTTGACCGCAGCTCTTGACATGATTTGGGGTTAACAAGCCAACTGTCACTGATTATTTCATTCTTGATCTTGTAAATAATGAGTTTGATTAACAAATATAATGAGGCTTTTGTGTGTGTGTGTGTGTGATGTTTGATGCGTTTTTATGGATAAAACCAGGCGAAAGAGGATGAAGACTTTCAGTATAAAGTGTTTGTGAGGCACTGGCAAACTTGTGCTTCTAAAGTTTTCTCTTCAGTTTAATTATTTCCTGTTGCATTACAATAATGTAACTTTTGTACATATATATGTGCTTTACTATACTGAAAAGATTAAGGAATGTTTTTAAATTTTCAGGCATTTAGCTTTTTCTTGTTTAAAATCACGTCTGAAAGCTGTATCTGCCCTTTTTTTCCCTCCCTCGTCTTTCCATAATGGAAGGAAAAAGAAATAGTCTTGCTGTCTGTGTATATGCAATTTTAATATTAGTTTTTATTAGTTTTAGTTTCCCGGCCAGCCAAATGATACATTTTTTCACAAATAACCTATTGCAACTCTCTTTATAATTAAACTTAAATACCCTGGAAGCTGCACGGGCTATGCTCTCAGATTCGCAACACAAAGGACAGTGCTTCTGAAAGTAACTGGATATTATTGGAAGTAATTGACAAATCTGAACAGTTGACTGAGGGGAACAGCCTATAAGAGAACCTGAGCTGGAGAAAGAGTGACTGCATGCGGAAGTGTTAAACCATAGTCCAAACCATAGAGCAAAGTTCTCTCTGTGAGTGCAGTAATGAGGTCAATTTCCAATGGAAGAAAGTTTTAAATGTGATTTCAAGACTTTGGGTTTCCCCTCAGAGTCTACCATAAACACTCAGCAAAACGTACTTTAGCTGTTAAATTGCCCATGCTAATACTAACTTAGCAGTGGTCAAAGAATAAACATGTTTCATTTTTATTTGCTATGTCTGAAGAAAATTCCGAGACCATTTGAGCTTAACGTTGAGAGCAAACCTATCAAAGGGCAGGCCCGTCAGCATGAGGAAACAGAACAGAGGACCAGATTCTTAACTCAGAAAGATCTGAATTCAATGAAAGAAGCAAGTATTGGCATATGGGATGCAAAGGAGCAGAATAGCAGCAGCCTGTAATTTAAATGAAATGAGAATAGAGGTGTAAAACCGATATAAGATGGCACTGTTAAAAGAAGAGCAAGAATAAACACCTACAGTAGCAATCCAGAATACTGCAGTTTGAATGCTTATTCGCTATAGATACAAATCTGTAGCAGTTTTAAAAAAAAAAAAAAAGTTGTTAAAATAACTAGAGAAACAGCTTCTTGAAGAAGCTGCAGCTCACAGTTGCGTTCTGTGCTGTGTGATAAGATATATATGAAATAGAGAATTTTTTAATGCATTTTCTTTTCAGGATGTATTTGCCATATAGCCTCATAGCCTTGTGGCTAGTATTGCATGCAGTATTGCTTGTATTAGACTTCTCAGGCCGATGCTCCTTTTGGCTCAAGCCCCCTAAGTAGGGTATCTTTATTAAGTTACTTTGTACCCCAGGTTAGTTTCTCCTTGTCTCTAAAATCAGCTTGCAGCATTAATTTTAGAATAGCAGTAAGCCCAGTTATCACAAATTGAGGTTTACTTAGTACAGAGAGAAGATCAAAAATAAGTAGTATAATGGTATCCAGGCTTCTGTTTGTGTACAGGCATGCAGGGTTGAACTGTGTAATCAGTGCTGACCTGAGGCAGATTAAGTGTTGCGTTACCTGAGTTTACAGGCACCAGAAAGGGGTCTGCTGGAGTCAAGTCCTTTTCATTCTGTCCATGTTTCACGGTAGGGTTACTCAAACTGTGCCAATACAAAGCATTTAGTTAACTTCTCTCTTTAAAACATATCCTGTAGACTCTAGATTCCAGTCTGAATGATTCTTTCTTTAAATGATTAGCCTTTGAGTACAATGCTATTTTTAATCCGTATATAAGTGACAATATTTCGTGTTACCCTGAAGCAAGCTCTTATTTTGTCTGTTTTCCGTATGATTTTCTAAGCGGCGTGCATGGTTTGTTTTTTTTTTTTAAAAACCTTTGTGTGTGCTTGCGTGTATCAAGAAATTTAATGTATTTTGTTTATAAAATATAAAGTTCCTTGGTCTTTTTTGTTTTTGCTTCCAGTTAATATCCCATATCTCAAAGTATTCAACTGAACATAAGCCTGACACTTACAATAACCCATAAAGTAGTCAGAAAGGGGCCATCTCATATAAGACCAGCCCAAACATCAGTGTATGTGACAGGCCCTTACGACAGATCAGTGCTATGTTTGCTAAACGAACCACCAGAGCTGGGTTGCTCAAGAAAAATGTTTAAATTCAATGAAAGCATTAGAATCACTGACTGTGTAATAGCCAAATGTATTTACCTGATTGGATTCAAGGCCCCTTAAGATACCTAGTACTACACATGCTACCCCTCCAGCCAGAGCTACCTGAAATTGTGTCTGCATCTTAACTTGTTTGGCTCTCCTCCAGTCCCACAGCCAGCCATCCTTGCAATGATTTCTTTTGCTCTTGGGGAAAATCACTATTTTAAAAAGTTTTGTTTGGGGGGTTGTTAGAGGTTTAAGGGAGAGGGACGTTACTGTTGTTTTGCAGGGCTGTGAGAACTCTTCATGGTAAGTTACTTTTTTCTCCTATTTCACCCTCCTGGTTTTTTTCAGGCTCCTCTTATGGCTCTTGTTAATGGCTCAGTAATGAAAGCAATTTTAATGGAGGCCAACGTGACTTAGAGGATAAAACGGGGCCAGAAGTCCAGAACGGACCTCCTTTCTCAGCATATCCTTTACCTTTTTTCAGCTTCATTTTCCCACTGTAACAAGATAATAACTCTCAGGCCCTTTGTCAAAAGTACATCCTGCTCCTGAAAGATGTTTAAAAAAAAAAGCCACATACGTGTTTTTGCATGCATATTTGGACTCCTCTTTATTGGTTGATTTCACTTTTGATTTTATTGGCAATGGTTTGTATGTGTAGTTAAGGTATTTTATTTCCTGAGAGCATTTTGGTAGTGGTATTTTTCAGTTTGTTGCTGAACTCATTTGTGAGATAGGTATTAGCACAAACTAAGCTGCTACAGGACAAACATGTTGGTGGAGAGAGGTTCCCTATGGCTTGGACCACTCATCTTCAGAGACCTTGTGCTAACTCTTTTTCCAGATTATTTGGTGATTTTGCAATGTAGACAAACAAGATGAAGTCCCATTGTGAAACTTCACGTGTAATGTTTCTGAGATCCGAGCACGGATCTGAGGAGACAAAAAGCAATTTCATTCGTTGTCCCTCATCCCCATTTATGTACTTTTTACTGTAGTGTACTCCTGTTACCTTTATATTAACGCTGTTTAAAGAATTATTAAGCCCAGCCAACCTGCCTGCTTGTTTTTCTAGAGCTGACCCTTCTGCATATGCCGATCGAGATTTTACTTGGATAGAGGGCATTTTTACTGTAGCTTTGACTGAGGTTTACATTAGTAGGTCAGCACATCCGAAATATGCGACAGGTTTCCAGAGGAGCCTGTGAAATGGTTTGTGCACAGGTCTTTGATCATGCTTCTGGGAGACCAGGTCAGACTAGATTTAAACAGGATTAGATTAAAGTAGATTTTGCTTGGTTGTATTTTAAGTACCATGAGATTTATGAGGGGAAAGTAGCTTTATGACCCTGGAAAAATCTTGATCCCTGTTAGTCAGCTTACAGCCTTCAGTGTTAAGAGGAAAACTGAGGTGGTCCCTTTAATGGATGTATCAGACTCATCCTACGGACAATGTCCATACTGATTTGTGCATTTTTGCTAGCAGCCCACCTTTTGATTGACCACATTGCTCACAGATAATGAGCCAGACAAACCTGCCCAGAGTCAGCAGTCCTTCAGCTCTGGTCCCATGTGTACTTGGCAGCAAAGAGGCAACTTGGGCCATGATGCCATCAAGCATGAACGTCACCCAAGCCAGAGAAAACTTTGGTTTCTGGGTGCGTAGTGAAGCAGGCACATCCATGGCAGGCTAAGGTTAACTCAATATATGTGCTAAAAGTGGGGCTTCCTCCTTCCTGTGGCCTTGGGCACTTGCTCCCTCCTCCTCCTTTACCAGAGTCCCTGCGCTTTGCTGGCCAGCGCTGGACCAGTTCTGCAAACAAACCAAAAACCTGGGTGCTTTTCCTGCCGATTTAGTCACTGCAGCAGCTTGAGGAGAATTCAGTGAGTACCAGGGTTTGTGCAGGGAGGAGGCAGGGGCAGCAGGGGAGCTTAATCCCCTAGGTGCAGACGAGGACCAACTGCTGCGCTGCCATTCAGTCTCTGTGCTGCTGTGAACTGACTGGTAGCTTCACGCATGTAGCAGTGATGCAAAGGTTGGCATTTACCGTCATGGCTTCGAGGTTTGCTAGCTGAAGCCTCAGCCCCAACCTGCAGGCTGGAGAGAAAAGAAGAAACGGGTTTATGTTTGATTTATGGTGAGGTTTTAGCTGACATTAGCATCTCATTTACATGTAGGGCACTTGGCAAAAAATAAATGCTCAACAGTGAGAATAGGCATGAGATGATCTGACTTCTCCGCAAGATTTTCTAAGCTAGAGAATTTGGAAATTATATTATGTTAGGAAACGGCCTGGAGCTACATGTTAATTAACCCAGCTCTAGGCACCTAATGGAAGCTAAGGCTGTTGCGCTTAACAGTTTGTCACCTGGAGGGGGCGAATCACAGGTCAGCACAGACCAACCTTCAGTAAAGAGAGACATTTCGCTCTCACACACAAACTCCTGCTGGAGACCGAAGGTTGGACTGGTGGAGGGCAGCGTTTGCGCTTTTACAGCCCTGCTCCTTTTTACTACCCAGGGCCCCTCACGCGTGCGGGTCCTCAAGCGTGGCCATCCCTGCCCAAGGCAGGCGTGGACGAAGACCAGAGAGGGTCAGCGAGGACCCACCGGGCCACCCCGCTTGGAAACCGCTGGGCCTTGTCCGCACCAAGCAGTAGAGAGGGCAACGTGCAGCAATCCCCTCCATCGTGGGAGGGTGGCACTTCCGCTCCCAAATATCTCACCGCCAGCCCCAGAAACGCGCCGCCCCCGCGGCTGCCTCCAGGTGCCCCTTGCTTTCCTCCCTCCTTCCAGCCTGCCCGCAGCAGTCTGGCAGCCGCTGATGCAAACCCGCCTCTGGGTCACTTTCAGCAGGTTGCAAAGCTGCTCTGGGGGTTATTTTTTAACTAACCGAAGCAGAAGATAATGCCAGGAACATATCTTTGCAGAGCTTATTAGTACCGGGGAAAGAAAGTTAATATATGCACAGCTGGCTTCTACGTATAAGCAGTATGCTGTTTGGGGCTAGAAAGAGAGGGCTATTTTTAAAAAGAGCTGACGCAGGAATGTCATTATTGACTGTAAATCCTAAGCAATCAGGGTAACTTCCACTCTTTTTCTGCAAACTATCCCTTTTTTTTAGGGCATGTTTCACTATCGTAAGTAAAGTTGCAGAGTTCCCTTTATTTTTCAAGCAAATACACTTTTTGTGTAGTAAAATACAGGCAAAAGGGTTGAACAAAATCAAGTGTTTTTCCCAAACTTTTTTTTTTTTTTAAGAGTCTTTCAGATGTTGGAGCGATGCCTCTGCTGTTTGAGCACATCTTCTTTCACTTGTGCCTCTGCTCTAGACGAAAGCTGGGTCTGAAAATCCCTTCCTTTCGCTATCCCACTTGAGTTATCAGAGTGCTGCGTCAAGAACGAAATCCTTGAGTTTTTTTTTCCCTGAGATCAAACGTGTGATGTTTTTGCTTTTCTAAAACCTTTCCTGTAGGCTGGGTTGCAGCCACAAGTGTGGCATAAAAAAAAAAACGCCCTCTCCATGCTCAGTCAGCAGCCGAATAAGCTCATTTAATAGCTTTCCCCCCCACCCTCCCCATATTTACAAGGAAATTCAATACAAGGAAATTGCCTTTACAAGGAAATTCAAATAAAAAAATACATATATATAAAACAGTCGATTGCAGAATCCCCTTTCCCAAGGCCACAGGCTAAGGACAAAGCTGCTCCTCTGGTTTATTTAAATAAGCCCTCAGGAACATCAGCTCTTCGCTGAACAAAGTTTCAAGGCCAAGCAAACATTTTGGGCAGGCGTATTTGTTTTATCTGAGTCGACAGTTCACAAAGCCTGAACACCTCGACCGTATCTGTTGCGGACCGGCGCACAGGGCGGCCCCTCGTATCCCGAAAGGGGATCTCGAGAACA